AAACTGAATACTAAAAACATAAATCTCTTCCAACTCCAGGTTTCTGAATAATAATCTAGTTATAATATGCTTTTTCACTTATTCATTTTGGTTCATGTTATTTGTATTATCAGTTGGTGTGTATGAAATAATTAACTCTCATATTTTATTTTATTAGATTCAAAGCAATTATACATATGATTTACAAATGTTATATTATATTTGTCTGAGGAATTTCCGAGGAACTTGTCTACTTTGAATAAAACCACAGTTCGTCACTATATCGTCGGTATATAGTGAAGGAATACCGACGGATAATATATATAGTATTTGCATAAAGGTTTAATTATAAAAATGTTTTTATAACACCATTTTACAAAAAAAAAAATTGTAGTGTAAGATTAGATGAATATGATTGTATAAGTATATGAGTGTTAAGATGAGATGTTATGAAAACAATCATATATATACATACATAAACATTTTAATGAGTTGTTATATTTGAATGGTTGTGATCTAATACTATACTAAACACTTATTAAGTGTTATTTTCATAATTTCGGTATCCAAAATTTATATATATTTTGATTTAAAAAAATTTAAAAACATGAGTCCTCGGAAATTCCTCGGAATAAACCGAGGACATTCCGACGAACTAAGCAAGGTCGTCGGAATGTCCTCGGTATATTCCGAGGAACTTGTCCACTTTAAATAAAATCACAGTTCGTCACTATATCGTCGGTATATAGTGACGGAATACCGATGGATTTCTGACGACATCAACATTTATATATTTTATCGGAAGGTCGTCAGAATTTCATCGGTATATACCGACGAACCACGTTTGGTCGGAAAGTTGTCGGAATATTCCGATGAATTTCCGACGAAATTGTATTTTTTGTTTTCGTCGGAATTCCGTCGGAAAACTGTCAAATTTTTTTTGATGACTTTGTTGTCCGTCGGAACCTCCGTCGGAATATACCCTGTTTTCTTGAAGTGTTGGTGGCTACAACCATTAAAGCTCACTTCATATGAATTCTTGGATATAGGTCAAAAATGAGTGATCAGGAATTGGTGGCAACCACCATTAAGGCTTGTTTCATGGAAACTTGTCCAATCTTGGTCAATAATCATGCTTTAGAAGCATATTTTGACTCAAGAGAGAGATTAGAAGAGAGAAAAGGTAGGAACTAACTTTTACTTGCAGATCCAGATACTTGTTTGAAAGTCCTTGCATCTTGTGATCGATACTCCCAAGGTAAAGCCTGCACTTTTATTATATGTTAAGAAATGAGGTTAGTTGAGGGGAATGTCAGATAGTATTTTCTAAGTTGATGGATAGATGAATCAGGTTGTTAAGGTAGGATATGACATAGTGAACTTCTATGATTAGAACTTCTTAGAAGTGGATTGCAATATTATAGAGGTTATGATTTCAAAGTTTTTAATTTGTGAGTCCATGTTCTTTTCAAACCTCTTTCAGAGAGACTGCATGTTTGTTTTGCTTAAAGACAAGCAAAATGGTAAGTCTGGGGGAGTTTAATATACCATGATTTTGACCAAATTTTAGTCATGGTATATTGGTGTTTTATAACTATTTGTTATATTATAGAAGTTTTAAAGTATATTTATAGGTTCAGGAGTATTTTGGAAGAAATTGATGTTCTTGGAGCATTTTAGAGATAACTGGAGAAATCACTCGATTTCGGAATCGAACAAGAAGACGAGGACGACACAGAGTGATTCACGTCGGAAGACCAATTCGCGAGACAACCAACTTGAAGTCAAACTTCACCAAACTACAATTTTACCCCTTATGAGTTTTAACCTAAGTATATATACTCTGCCAAAGTGTTAGAGGCAGAGAGAGAGAGAGGGAGAGAGAGAGAGAGAGAGAGAGAGAGAGAGAGAGAGAGAGAGAGAGAGAGAGAGAGAGAGAGAGAGAGAGAGAGAGATTTTTTTGTAGTCTTTTCACAGCAAAAGGTTTTTAGGATTTATAGTTTGGGAGAGAAGATCAACAGAGAGATTT